CAACAATTATTAGAATAATAATTGTATTTATGTATTTAATGCGATAATTTGTTTGGAGGTTTCCAGAAACATTTACGTTGGTAAATTGTGAAAATTCTCAGATCCACGCCTTGCCTGAGGGATTGTGTAAGGTCACGTGGTTAGCTCAGCGAGTCATTCACACTCGCGCGCTCACCACCGCTAACATGAAGCACGTCTATTTTGAAGAAATCACAATTTTTTGTGATCGTTATAGTCAGCCAAGAGAAGTGCTTTCTTATTCCATCATTTGTTGATTATTGTCACAATTTGCAAGATTTGTGCTGTTTGAGATTATTTTTTGTTTACTTAACCGAGGGTGTTGCCCACAATTTGTGATAGACGTGCGTGTTATTCACATGTGCAGATTTTGCAATGCCCATGTGGAGTCATGTGGAGTATATTTTTCTGATGATTGGACTTTATTAACTTTGTGTTGTGTTTTGAACTGGCATCGTTCGTTAATTAAAGGACAGAGATTTCCATATACCCACATAATGCGCGTGATTTCTGATTTTTGTTGTTTGTTAAACTAAACGACTAAAACTGAACACATTTATATCAATGGAGACACGGATTTGTTTGGCGAGAAGTTGTGATAATATTCATCAAAGGCAGTATCTGCAGGATGGCGTTGATGGAAAACAAATACGCAGCTGGAGATCATGACGGTCTTTGTGGAGCCACAGAGGTTTCAGGATGAACCTGAGCTATCAAGTCGAGTTGGTGTACATCTGTGCTGCACCCCCTTGCACGACCAGCCAATGCGGACGTGGTTTCGTTGTATAGGAATGCAGATAATTCAGTCGTCTTAATAATAAGGCCAGTATCGTATTCTTAATCATTTTATTGCACAACGTGTTGCGTATGCTTTGAGAAGTCTATGAATAGGAAAGATTATATAGATAAAGCTTGTCAGCAAATTCTGTTGATTAAAAGCAAGGATTGAATTTTAAAGTCAAGCCATTTAATATTTTTGAATTATTAAAAATTACACAGCAAGTTTTTGTTAGCTCGCGTTTCTGTGGAAATTATAGAATTTGTACATTTGTTCGGTTCTTCTAATCTTCTAATGACAGTGGTTTCGGTCTTATGTAGAAATTATTCATTTAGACACGGTTATATGGATTAAGATTTACCATATGAATCAGTTTCCCAAATTTATAATCTTGATAAAATGGAGCTACGGTACAGAGTTTTTTGTTTAGTTCACAAGTTTGTTTATTATTGAATCGAAATAATTTCGGCCTAATGTACTTATCGTGTGGACTTGTAGGGGTATAAATTTATATATGAACCTACCCACGTTGTTTGACAATAGTACAGAGTAGGCCGCATATATGTACTTATTGTGTGGGAGTTTTTGGGTACAAAGTTTATCTGTGCCTACCCACGGTGTTTAGCAATAGTACAGAGTAGGCCGCATATATGTACTTATTGTGTGGGTGTTTATTGGTACAAAGTTTATCTGTGCCTACCCACGGTTTTTAACAATAGTGCAGAGTAGGCCACATATATGTACTTATTGTGTGTTTATTGGTACAAAGTTTATCTGTGCCTACCCACGGTGTTTGACAATAGTACAGAGTAGGCCGCATATATGTACTTATTGTGTGGGTGTTTATTGGTACAAAGTTTATCTGTGCCTACCCACGGTGTTTGACAATAGTACAGAGTAGGCCGCATATATGTACTTATTGTGTGGGTGTTTATTGGTACAAAGTTTATCTGTGCCTACCCACGGTGTTTGACAATAGAACAGAGTAGGCCGCATACATGTACTTATTGTGTGGGAGTTTTTGGTACAAAGTTTAAATGTGCCTACCCACGGTGTTTAGCAATAGTACAGAGTATAGGCCGCATATATGTTCTTATTGTGTGGGAGTCTAGGGTTCATTATTTATTTGTACCTATCCACATGTATAAGATAAGTACAAGGCTAAGGGTTTCTTTGTACCAGTAACAGTTTATGTCGTGTTAGATTTTTTGATTTGGAGATTTTTTAAGTTAACACGACATGGACTGTGGTCGAAGAAATGAAACTTACCAAGATCAATGGCTTAAATTCGTTATGCATTGGCATACCTATGTTAAAGGAGTTTGTTCCTAGTATACTTGTAGATTTTACATATATGCCAATAAGAGGCAGTTATGTATTTGTTTGCACATTATGACATTTGCGTCTAATGTAGCAGGATTTCATTTAGTTTAGAGTTACCCGTACGCTTGATCTTCATGTTTTGTGCGGAGTTTATATGTATGCATATGGGTCGAAGTTATCCATATTTTCACTGTTTTGTTTTAAAGTATATATGCCCTATTACATCTAAACATAATGGCAACTTCATTTCATGTTCATTGCAGTCAATTTTAAGTAAGAGTATCACAATAGTTCTTAGTTGTTACAAAGTACGTGTTACAAATAGTGGTATCTCCTATACATGTGACATTTTTATCTTTTGTTATGGAGTTAATAGATTTATTCTTTAATATTTCGTTTGATGAAATTGGTAGAATCCCGGAACATGTAGAATTTCGTCAAAGCGAATCCTCTCAGCAGGGAATTAATCGATTATTATCAGTATGATTGTAATACAATATATACTGCTATCAAGGTTAGTCTACAGGAAAAAGTTTACTCTTTCTGTTCAAGGTTGTTACATTTAGTTTTTCTATGAGCATGATAATGTACATGATGTATCACTTTGTTTACAACTCAGTTGTTGGTTTTTGGCGTCCTTTCTTTAAATGACACCTTAGACTTAAAAAGTATTCATATAATTTTCATGTTTAAGTTGCAGATGCCTTTTGATGAATTTGCCAGTGTGCATATTTGCTACATCCTAGCAGCCCGAGTTTAGAGGAAGCGTAGCTATAACTGTTAATAGCCCAGAGAGCCCAGCAGAATTGTGCCGGATGCCATGAATCTAATGTTATTGATACAGGTTTGAACTGTTTAACAAATATTGACTTAGCGAGCTGTTTTATCTAACAAATTGCATAAGATCCGCGCCACCGGTGGATAATGTCCTAAACCAGCCCGTCCACTAGTGTTATTCCAGATACAATTTGACATTACCAACAACTTCCATGCGATCAGCCGGTATAAGATTCATATGTTTGCTAGCTAAACTGCTGCAGTGCTGCTACAGGTGTGCCCCAAATCAGCCGTGTAACCAGGATATCCACTACCGTTGGTTCACAAAGCATTCATACCAGCTACATCATTCAATTTGGTTTCAAATAAAACATTTACAGGCGAGTCAGCAAGTAAATAATATAGGAAGATCCCCCCTCCATAAAAATTCAAATAAGTTCCCTATATAGCTGGTAAATATAGGTTTAATTTATTTTTATAAATTAGTACAGACCTCATGCACGGTCAGTACATTAAATAAAAGGTTTTTCAATTTGCGTCCCTTTTCGGAAATTAAGCATTGCCAGGCTAGAATACAATAATAATAATAATAATGATAAAATGATTTTTAAAAAGTTTCTAATAGACAGCATAATGTTAGACATTGTTTGGAGTTACTAGCTCATGTTGTACATTGTACGTTTCTGCGGTCTTTATCTTTAAATATTAATTTGCTTTAATTAACGTAAAATTTTCTCCAACTTATTTTTATATGAAAATTCTATTAATTTTCGGTCTTGTTTGACATCTGTAGTTGAAAGATAATCGTTTTCTTTTGATATTTAGGAAAGGCATTTTTGCACATGGTGGCAGTATTTCATTCTTGACATCTCTTTCCTGTCTGACGATAGCAATGTTATTAACTCAAGCTTGTTATCAAATTTATGGTTACATCCTAGGATTGCGTTCTTTGAATTTGCTATGCTTCGCTCTACCTAATTTCAGTGTGGTAAATTAATGTCTACAGATTCCCTATGTTCATGACATTTTCTATCCTTAATTTTAATTGGCCGGTCAGTATGAAAGTAGGCAGAGTTGTCAAGAACAGATTTGTGAGTTTGTAAGGAAGGCAATCTAGGAACATTCTTGTGTTATTCAGTTTTGTAGTCTATCTATGAAATTTGTTCCAAATCATATTTGTGAAATTTAGATTTTTGGACTTACAATAAATTCTAAACTTTAGAACCGACTTTTCAATTGACACAATATTACATGGTGAACTTAGTATAATCTTCTTCAATCATGTATTTTTCATAATTCTCTCAATATCAATTTATTTTACATGTTTTGTGGAACTTAAGTATGTACAGTAATTTTATTGTACCTTGATCTCAAAAGGAGAGAACTAATACAGGCCCTTGGCCTGCTGTTCAATCCATATTCATATTGTACACTTTGTATATTATGAATAAAATACTTCTTATACTAAAAGCATTCTCACTCATCACTAGGTTGAATTTGTCAAAATTTAAGTTTGTTGACATAATAGATCTCAACCATTAATCCTGATAATAATTGAAACTACTAAATTAACAAAGTGCTACACACCATTTAGATAATTCATTAAGATATGTTTCACATTGTCATTGTCAGGGACAGATCTGGAAATATGCATGCTCTCGATAGATACATGTAGCCCCCGGCCGCTAGCATAATATAATAATTTTTCAAAGCAGGGAAATCTGTAAGTCTGGATCTTTTGCAAATGTGTATATGGTAAGCTACTCATGAGACACAGACAAACTGTTCAGAAATCTCTATTAGGATTTTGAAGGACAACAGTTCAAATGCATGGCATATATATATTTGCTTAAAATCACTTAAACTTAATAAGTTCACATAATCTGTAACATACAAGAATGAAGATCAAATATTGGTCAATGGTAATTATTGTTTTGTTCTTCTTAAAAAAAAAAAATAAATAAATACATATGTAAATAAATAGCAATAAATAATAATAAAGAATTTTTTTCACAATATCATTTTTATTTTAGGCTGTCTTCAAAGCAAAATAAATAATTAAATAAAATTAAAAAAAAATAGACATTTTACCGCATTTGCTTATAAATAATATCAGCGATAAATGATAATAAATAATAGCATTTAATGGCAAAATGTAGAAAAATGTCTTTGTATTTAATTTGCAGTTCTAGAGCATGTTCTAAACAATTTTTAAACGATTTCCTTTCATATCTTATACACTCCCAGCCTGGGGAGTATCTATGTAAAAAATAAAATCGATTATCTGATTGGAAATGATAAAAAAATAATAATATTTAAAATGCGGCCGATAATAAATGAAAAAAAAAAAAAAATAATAATAATATTAATAAATATCTAGCATTTAATAGCTGTTTTTGTTCTACTCCCATTAGTCCGATTCTAGAATGTAGTTTAATTGCGAGTCAGTGTTTAACTGCAGTTCTGTTCTATTCATGATAAATAGTTAGATACTAGGATGTATTTAAATACAGGTCAGTGATTTAACTGCTGTTTTGTTCTACGCGTGAAAATTAGTTAGATATTAGGATGTAATTTAAATGCAGGTCAGTGATTTAACTGCTGTTTTGTTATACTCGCGATAAATATTTTGATACTCACTAAAGATGTAATGTAAATACAGGTCAGTTATTTAACTGCTGTTTTGTTCTACTCTTACAATTGAAAATACCTTAAGGAACATGTTCATTCCCACATTGACAGGTCGGTGAATAACTGCTGTTGGATATCTAAATACTCCTCATCTGACTTCGTTACTTGCTGGCTCAATAAACAATACTTTTCGATTTGTCATTTAATTACTCTGAAATTAGTTTTCTTCCATACTTACATGTATTACTCAATATCGTTATTTATTAACATTGCTCGGATATTATGTTAATACAGGTATTTCCTTCATTATATGACATGTAACTTCATTTTCGTGATAACTGGTAACGGAATAATTAATGAAAGGTAGATTTTTATTTTTCATTTCATTACTTTAAGTTGAAATGTGTGGAGAGGCCAGTGATTAACTGCCTTCATATAGATTTGATGTGTGCAAGCTCACCTTGGATGGCACGGATGTGATTTACATGTCACATTTTACATGGATGTGACCTGCATATCACATCTTGTGGCCTATTTTGTTTTGATGTGCCATCTATTTGCTAACTTTTTTATATGATGTTTTGATTGTCTTGTCTTACAGATACTTTTTTCTAGTCATTTTTGGGGGATCAGACATTATCATATTTTACGTAACTGATAAGTAAAGCTTGTGAATCTGATCCCCCTTCTTGTTTGTTAAATTGTTCACATTTATATCGTCATTTTAATAAATGACATTATTCATCAACATGAAAGTGTTTTATTTGACTTTTACAAAATTAGCAAAAACAAGCTGCGGTGATCTTGCCTATAAGCATTAGAAGACATAAAACAACAATTATTAGAATAATAATTGTATTTATGTATTTAATGCGATAATTTGTTTGGAGGTTTCCAGAAACATTTACGTTGGTAAATTGTGAAAATTCTCAGATCCACGCCTTGCCTGAGGGATTGTGTAAGGTCACGTGGTTAGCTCAGCGAGTCATTCACACTCGCGCGCTCACCACCGCTAACATGAAGCACGTCTATTTTGAAGACCCACCTCCACCCCAGCATTCCTATCCCTTAATATGATCATTAATGTCTTGTAAAATTTATATTATATTATAGTTTTTACTCAATTGTTTTACTGCTTCTATGTATTTGGTTTTGATTACGATCTTTTTGCAAGCTTTTTCTTCTGAAGTTTTGATTGTGTCTTTGATGTACCTTCTTTTTGCCAACTTTTTCTTGTGATGTTTGCCTATTTTGTTTTGATGTGCCATCTATTTGCTAACTTTTTTATATGATGTTTTGATTGTCTTGTCTTACAGATACTTTTTTCTAGTCATTTTTGGGGGATCAGACATTATCATATTTTACGTAACTGATAAGTAAAGCTTGTGAATCTGATCCCCCTTCTTGTTTGTTAAATTGTTCACATTTATATCGTCATTTTAATAAATGACATTATAAATGACATTATTCTAAAAATCAACATGAAAGTGTTTTATTTGACTTTTACAAAATTAGCAAAAACAAGCTGCGGTGATCTTGCCTATAAGCATTAGAAGACATAACTCTGATTGGTAAGAATTATTCCTTTATCATTGACTTTAAAAGATTATTTAAAAATGACTTTTATACCACCAGTGCATGATCAATAACTTTGTACAAATGTATGTAGCAATTTAAGGCTATATATATGTATTTGATTTGAATATTTCATTCTTAAGGCAACACAATTATATCCTTGATTCAAGTATTCATTGTCTTTGTGAAATGTCAATCATCAAACAATATGTTGATTTAAAAATGAAATTTCTTTACAGCATGGTGTTGGTTGCATCATCCGTTTTTTCAAATTCCCACATTCAAATGACCCGCCTTCGGTGAAGGCAAAGGTGTACGTAAATACTTTTACTCTTCAATAATTTTTTCATAGTAATTTTTTTTCTGCTTTGTTCAATCCAAATGAGGAAAGACATTAATCATCTTAGATACGTTAGATGTAGAACGCTGATACAAACACAATTTTTCTTATCTTTACAGGTTGTGCTATTCTTTTCGAGGGGCAGATTCCTTATCAGCCTTTTCAGTGTATGTGATTCTAAGTCTTATAGATCCGCCGCTCTGTTCGACCAATACAGTGAACATAGGATTTCTGTGATTCTGTTTTTTTTTTAAATTCAGTGAATGGATTAATTTAGACGCCGTTTTCACCCTTTAAAAACCCAGTGACTTGAAAGAAAATAAATTAAAACTTGATGGATTTCAAATATGATTAACATATTGAATATGGGTTTGTATTAAAGGTTCAAAAATTAGAAATAATTTGTGTTTATTTTTTAAAATATAAATATATCATTATTCAATGAGAAAAAGTAAATTTTCAGGAAAAATACTTTTGTAACCTCGACTTGAATGTTTTGAAAACGTTTTAAAAACCAAACAAATTAAATTTGAATAAAACATTTTTGAAAATGTTTTTGTTACATTTTAAAACAAGAACATTTGTTGAAATATTTTGTTAAATGTTTTAAAATATTATAAAAACCATACAAAATCACGTGATTAAAACACTGATGAAAAATATTTTTGTAATATTTTAACAAAATGTTCTGGAAACATTTGCTGAAATATTTCACTAAAACGTTTTAAAAACGTTTAAAAAACCATACAAATTCACGTGATTAAAACATTATTCTAATGCAATTGTTTTGTAAAACACTTTTTAATTGACTAATTCACTGATGTTTGAAGCAGTAAAAAGAGCATTAACGAGCGTGAAAGCCTTTTTATTGTGACGTCATAATAGAGCGACGCAAAAGACAATGCTCAGTGACGTATTTCATGTAACAAAATTCATCAAAATAAGACATAATCAAAAAACAAAATGCATGGATTGCATTAGAATGGGAATAACTGATCTTTTAATTTGGTATTTGCGACCGTTAATGCCGATTTAACGGTCGCAAACATCCGTTTTACCGGAGTTTTTTTCCTGATGATACAATTGAAACCGGTAGAGTTTTAATCGGCGTTCTGTTATTTTTTACTATTTAATACTTGTGTGGATTTTTTTTATCAAACTTCTGGATTATATATATATATATATATATATATATATATATATATATATATATATATATATATATATATATATATATATATATATATATAAAGAAGTAATACTTGCTAGGACTGATAGGAAGGTCCCTATCTACCAACAGTGATTTTTCGTCCAATGCATATATTTATCT